GTTACACCTGATCCTGAAATTCGATTGGTCGTTATTACATGGGGTGGAAAAAATTTTGTGGGACAGCTAGGGGCTTTTAAGTACATTAGTGGATCTACTATTGTGAAGAATCTTGTATACGGTAAATCCCCTTCGTGTGTGTGTGATTGTCATGCATGATCTTCACTCGAATGCTCGATTTCTAGTTTTGGTCAGGTAAAGCAAGTTTTGATGTGGAATCAAAGTACGTATGCCATTGTCGTTACGAAATGGTTTTTAGATAGTTTTTTTTTCCTTAAATTAAAGATAGATCATAAAGATTAATCAACACGTTTTTCGTCAGTGAGAATATTCTAGGTTTATTTATTCACACGAGTAGGGATAGGTATGTTTAGTCGACTAATTAGTCGACTAAATATCGTATATAGTTTATTATACAGATTTTTTAGTCTACTAAACCGATTCCAATCCCTACATACGAGTAATACTGAAAGGAAGTTTGGGTGAAAGTATAATTTTGTAGTTAGAATGTTAGCTATAAGAGTTATCGTAAACTATTCCTAGCATTTTAGCTTTTTTTTTTTGCATGCTTTTATTGATGGCAGTTTCTCTTTTTATGAGTTTGTAAAAATACCGCTTTTGAGAATTTGTATGGGAAAATTATCTACCTGATATATACGTATATAGCAACATAAATGTCACATAATTAGAGGCATGGCCTCGCCTTTAAAAAAAAAAAAAAAGTTACGTAATTAAATTTATTATCATATATATCATACGATATATCATACGATATAAATATAGTTAAACATGTTTTTAAAGGCTGTGTAAATAATAAATAAAGCTTTTTTTTCGACAGCACTTAAAATCGATAAAAAAAAAAATAATACGTAATAAAACATGACTATAAACTTAACTTATAATTTACCCAAACGATAAGTTTCGTTTTTAGATGCCTCGACGTGGAAAAGGAAGCTCATGGCTTCTTGTTTGGTCGTCTTGCAGAATCGAATTAACAATTTGGAAGCTGAGGTGGCTGAGAGAATCGATATTCGAGTATTCTGTATTTCGTACCCTAGGCGCACTTATAAAAATCAAGTATTTTGTTGGTGTTATGACAGATCAATTAGACTAGAAGTTAAAATATTGAGAATTTTTCATCTTGTCTTGTTTTGGCGTTTCTAGCGAAGTGTAAGTTTATATTTATTATCTACCAATTCAAATCGTAAGTGTTTGGATAATAAATAGCCGTAAAACAAATCTGTGGCTATAATAATAATATCTCTTATTTTTTTTTTTTTTTTTTTTCTGCAGTTTTCAAATTTGAAAGTACAAAGGTTTATTTTTCTTCAGTGGCACTTAATTCTTATTAAATTGATGAATACATAGAAAAGTCTAGCTCGCTCACCATGTATGAATTATCTAGTATACCGCATAGCAAAAGTTATTGCTGATGACCGAATCAATGTAAACATCCATCTAAATTCCGATTATTAAAATGGAAGAATTTCTCCTAAAAGAAGAACTCGACAACGTTAGCGATGAATGGATGTAAGGCAAATCTGCGGTTGTAATGATGATATCCTTAATATTTATGAGAAAAACAGTATCTATCTTCTGTTGCTTCTGTAGATTAGTGCTTTAATTAAATACATGAAATCTTTAAAATTAGAGTAGATTTTGAAAACAAAGATTGTAATTTCAAAAGTAGGATTTTTAAGCATGAAGCCTTGTACCGTAACTTTTTACAAAACATATATGACTTCTATATACCAGAATTGTTAACTACGTACGTTATAACAAATAATACAGATCAATTTTTTAAAACTATTTATATGTGATATATAATAGTAATTCATTTTATGTGATATTATTAAATATATGCATTTAAATCCGTTGGATTTTTTTCTCCACAATAAATAATTTAAATTAAAACAAATCAAAACAATGTCTGCCACATTCTTAGCACCATCTCTTCCCGCGGAAACTGTTATTAGCTGTATTAATTTTCAAGAAACTATTCATGATACACCTCATTTTCGTGCAAACATTCGAAGATTTGAAGAACATGTAGATAATTTTGAAAAGTTTTAAAACAATACATTGAAGAAATTAACAATAAGCTTTTTAATTTAAAATTATTTATATCAATTAATATTTTGAATCATATTTTGACGATGCAAGCAACAATTTGGCAAAGCGTTCTTCTCCTACTTAAAATTCATTGCTAGGTATTAATTTTATATTTTATCTGCATCTTTAATTGTGATAAAATTTCTATTAAAATATATGTAAACATAAATTACATTACCAACTATGAGGCTGTTTACAGATATATTTCAAACTACCTTTGCATTTAAAGCAGAAAAAAAAACTTTAAATACAGTATTACTGGTAAATAAAAAAAAGGTGAATTTACACATGAAGAACCGAAAATGAAAATAATTACGGATGAGGGTCCAATAAAAACTATTACATATAGCGGCCCAAAATCAAACTTTATTACGAATAAGGGCCTGTCCGATCTCCGAGCTGTGGCGACTAAGCCACAAAACTTACCGGTACATAACGCCGTCTAGAAAAAATGGTTGCCGGATTTTTCTGGCTTACATATGACTTCGAAAACTGATTGCCGGTAAAGTTATGTTTATCGTAAACATTAGAACTTTGATTATTATTTTGATCTTTGACTTCACTTAGTCTTCGCTTTAACTTCGGTTTGGTTTTTACTTTGATTTTCGCTTTGATTTTGACTTTCGCTTTGATTTTCATTTTGACTCTCGCTTTAATTTCGTTTTGATTTTGACTTTCGCTTTAACTTTCATTTTGGTTTTCATAACATAGAGCTGTTTAAACTGACCCGGCCGGCTTTTTTTTAAAAAATTTTATATATAAAAATTTTATAAATTGGTTTAAAAATTTCTTTTAAAAACCTACCCGGTTATTAAAACATATAAAAAAAAATTTTTTACAAGTTTTCAAATTTTGACCCGGCCGGGTTATGAAAACCAAGATTTTTTTTTATATGGCCTAATAGCTAAATATACTGATAAGATATATATTTTCAGTATTTCTACTATATAATTGGAAAAGAAATGTACTGTTTAGGTCCTATACAAATAAACGAATAAGGTTACTAAACAATCATTTCTAAGACTATTAGGTTTCCAAACTTTTATTATTAATATATGGAACAATTCGAAAGATATAGATAAATGCCTCTTCTAGCTGTTTCTTAAATCTTGCAAAACCGATATCTGATTTTCACATGATTTTTTGTTCTAAAATCTTTATTGATTTCATAAGCTATATGTATTTTTTTTAACATAATACTTAAGAAGATTATTGTACCTCACATAACCATCCATTTAATCTATCTCAAACCTCATCAAACATGAATCGTAAAGTTCTATATGTGCACATATGCTACCCAAAAACTATTTTCTCAAAGAATAAAATAAGTAATATTATAAATTATTGATACTACAGAGTACCTGATCCGATCCAAAGCAGATCTAACTGGATAATTTTGAGAGTATAATCTAGTGCAGTTTTTATATGTGTTTCCGAGCTTGAAATAGTTGAAATGCATCCTATAAAAAAACAGTATATTATCATTATTGATTTCAATATGTGATTAATGTTAAATAACAAAACCAACCTCTCGCAATGCATTTGCTTTCTTGGTCTTTGATTGAGATGCGTATTTCGTTATTATGCTATCATATTTTTCAAGTGCTTTATCATAAGCTCAGAGAACTTCCTATTAAAAAAAATCAAAATAAGATTAATGATATACAAATAAATTTATAAAATAGATGAAATATTTAAAAAAAATACCTTGACTTCCTTTAAATCATTTTTATAAATCGATTTATCGGTTGTAAAAGCTTT